ATGCCCCATGATTACATCTGATTCTTCCTTCGATTTTCTTCTACTTCTCTCTTTCAGTTTTCTGGGTTTTACAATGTTTGAACCCTAATTTTGGAATGAGGGTTTTGACTTTAACAATCAATTTAGGGGTTTTGACTTCATTTTTGTCGAAATTTATTTTTATTCGATAATTCATTTTTTTTTTAATTATTGATTAAAAAACTAATTAAAATTACGCACGTTTTAAAATAAGTTATCGGAGTTACTGTTCCGTCACGGTCTATTACTATTCCGTCAGGTTTTTTGGCGGCGCGAAAAAATCTTTAAGTTTGGAGGTTTATTGTGCTAGTGAAATTAGGTTAGAGGTTTATTGTAATAGTGAAAATCCTTCGAGGTTTAAAGTGCTACCTTTTTGATCCCTCGAGGTTTAAAATGCGATTTTCCCGAAGAACAATGTTAATAATGTTCATCAAAAACTTTAGACCAAAGCCTTACCATAGTTAAAAACTGAAAATCATTAATCTAAGGGAGGATTACTACACTAACCTTAGAAAGTATCTATATTACTTGTTTGACGCACTTTTATTTTTTTTACAAAACTAACCTACCATACCCAAAACACTCTTTTGGCCTTTGTTGGAAAAAACATAATTACGAAAATGCCATTACTTTTTTTAATGCCACGTAGACAGAATATAGCGTTGAAAATTTGATAAGTCTACCAGGCTTTGACGGTAGACTTATCAAATTTTGGTCAACGCAAAAATTTTGTCGGTATAGTTATTAGGTCGATGGTAGATTTATTCGAGAGTTGGTAGAGTTTACAAATGTTGGTAGACTTATCTTGGTAGAGTTTTGACGATGAGAGGTAGATTTATTATGTTTTGGTAGATTTGTTGTTATGAATGGCAGACTTGTCAAACATGTTGGTAGATTTGTTAAAAAAAGCGTTGACTTTGTCGCATAGTTGACTTTATCGGTAGATTTATTGACAATAATGTAGATTTAATTTCTGAGTTGGTAGACTTATGTCCTTTGACAGTAGACTTATGTGAAAAAAGTTGTCAATATGTGACGGTAGATATATCTGTTTTATGGTAGAGTTATATCTAGTTGGTAGATTTTTTGCTTTTGTGGTAGATATGTTTGTTTTGTGGTAGATTTAAATTCAAGTAAAATTCCTTCCGGTGAGTGGTAGATTATTTGTTACATGAGGTAGACTTACAAAATGTTGGTAGATTTATTTGTTTTATGGTAGATATGTTTGTTGTGTGGTAGATTTAAATTGAAATAAAATTTCTTCCGATAAGTGGTAGATTATTTGTTACATGAAGTAGACTTACATAATGTTAGTAGATTTGTTTGTCAGTTTGGTAGAGTTTATGTAATCTGGTAGAGTTATTGTATGTATGGTAGACTTCTTATAATAATCATGTGGTAGATTAATTAAGTTTGGTATTTACAAAGATAACCTCGATCTGGTAGACATATGAGGTGCTTATGGTAGACTTGTTTCTATGGTAGAGTTATTTTCCATGCTTGAGGTAGACTTAGTTGTTAATGTTTGGCAGACATTTGACTTTTTGGATTGAAATTACTTTTTTGTCCTAAATGTATCCTGCAATCTACGAAAAAACCAGAGGTGTGGTAGACTTGTTTTGGAGTGTCGTATGTTAAACAGGTTTCGTACATATGGTAGACTTGTTCAATGGTTATATTTGACTTGGTTTTGTTACCATTGACGTTTTCTTTGCATGAGTTTGCTAAGATTATGTTGGTTAACTGTGATTCGATCACAGATGATTATTGGTCTTCACGATATAGATGCCATAATCAATTGTCAAAAATTTCTAACATGAATATTTTTTCTATGATATATCTTTTCTCTAAGATAACTTTGCTTTTCATATTAACTTTGAACATATATGTCATATATGTAATAACCATCTCTTAACTTATGATCTTTTGATTTTTATTTTGAATATTTGTTACATATAACTCTATTTACATAAACTCTTACAACATCACAATGTCAAATGATTTTAGTCATGTGTTTTGATTAAAATTTTATTCAGTTATGATATACATCATAGTGAAAGTAAAGAAATAAATTGAATTGAATAATAACATTACTAACAAATGTGGTAAAAATGTGAAATGTCTAGGTGAATGTTTTACGACAAATATAATTTGAAAACGAAAATATTATCATTTAAAATCTAATTATCATTTTTACAAATTCAAATATAGATATACTATCAATTTAATAATAAATCTACCATTATTTCAAAACAAATCTACCAAATGCAAATCTACAATTCATAGTAAAACATGTCGGATCGATGCTGGATATCCCATCAAAAATTTGTTCACCATGGCAAAGCCCATAATCTGTAAAAAAAAAATAAAAAAATACTGTCATTCGTATATAAAATTCAAATATATACGACTGATAAATCTACCATAAATAACTAATAAATCTACCATAAATAACTAATAAATCTACCAAACACATATCATTTTTCAAATAAGTTACCATTAAATGACTAATAATTCTACCAAACCACATCGTTTTACAAATAAGTCTATCATTAGATGAATAATAATTCTACCAAAACTTCACATAAAAACGATAATTGTACATCAGATAAATGCACCATCAAATAACTAACAATTCTACCATCATAAAAAACGATAATTGTACAGTCATTAACAAATATATATACCATCAAGTAACCAATAAAAACTACCAAACCACATAACATTTTAAAATAAATTTACCATCAAATAACTAATAAATCTACCAAACCACATATCGTTTTTAAAATTATATACCATCAGATAACTAATAAATCTACCAAACCAGATATCGTTTTAAAAATAAGGGATAATTTACCATCAAATAACTAATAAATCTATCAAACTACTTATTATTTTAAAAATAAGTCTACCATTACACGTTACAAACTTTACAACAACAAAAATCTACCATCCACCAGAATTTTTTTTTTTTCACCGGAATCTTGTTCCGTCGAAGATAAACATATTAAACAAGTTATCTGCAACAACAACAAAAAAAATATTTTTTTTTGTCACCGCCAACCACCGCAACTCATTAGTTTATCATCGATACTAGATCTAAAAACCCAGATCTAAAAAAATAAAATAAAAGAATTCGAAATATAAGAAAGAAAACTCACCTAATAATAGAACGAATTGTAGAAGCCATGGGAAGATCTAGATCTAGATCTTCGAGCTTGGAAATAATGGAGGCGCCTTGGTACCAAAAATCGGTAGGGCTATGCCTCTTTTTCTCTATCTGAAACATCGATGCTTTGAAATTCATTGAAGATAACTATTCATGCAACAAAATTTAACAAAAAAAAAAAAGAAAGAGGAGAGCAAGAGAGGAATGGAAGATAAGAAGAAGAGAAAGAAGAGGAAGAAGAATAGCAGCGCCTTAGAGAGAGAAAAGAAGAAGATAAATTTAGGGTTTTTCTCTTTTTTCTTTTTGATTTTGTGTATTTTTTAATTTTTTTTCGTTTAAATATTAGTTTTTTTACAAAAAATAAATTTGAAATTTTTCAAAAAAAAAAGTTTTTCTGAAAAAAAAAAATTCGACCAAAAAAAAATCAAAATAGCAATTTTGTAATAACATAAACATTAGAATGATTTTTTTGATTTTATTAATAATAAAAAATAATAATTTTTTTTATTAACTATAATGGCATTCTCGTAATAATATTCAATATTTGGATAAAATGATATAAGACCAAATTTATAAGGTTAGTCTGGTAAGCCCTTCAATATGTTAGGCTAAGTTTGTCAATTCATCAACCTTAAAGGCTAGTCTGATGAATTTTCACTTAATCTAATTGCCAAGGAGCAAGATCTGAATGCGTAAAATAAAAAATACACGTATCAAGTGATAATGACAGTTTAAGTTAAGAAACAAAACGAATAAGAAAAAACTAAGCACTTAATTTTCTCGTATTCTATTTTTTTATTTAGATTATTAACGTTTTTTTTTTGTTCTTCTTATTTCTAGGACAAATTGGTATAATCCAATGCAACTGGGGCTACTTCACATAAAAGTAGCACCAATCTGCTTTCTACTGAAGCAAACTTACTCACCTTGAATTTCTGTTATTGTTCATATTCTGGACTTGGATAAAAATGAACCCGCAAGTTAGCCGCATTAAGAACCTTCTCCACATATGCCGATTTCGTATTTCATACCCCTATAAACAAACACAAAGCAAAGTATTGTATTCAAATCACTCAAAGTTTTAATAAAAAAAATTTCAAACCAAATGAAAATTTCAAACCAAATGAAAATCAATAACCAAACGGTCAAAAGAAAAGAAAGAAATACCTTCAATTCAACAATATGTGACCGTTGAAGAGCTTCCAATATAAAATGAATATTATCTATCAAAGCTTTAAGCTGAAGAAAAAAAAACAAGTAAACATCACATAGAAAGAAGAAAACAAGGATTGAGCATAAAACTAAAACAATAGATAAATGAAAGATAAGACAAGCAACAATCCCACCTTATTGAAACTTGCAATAAATTGTATATGAACAAAGCCTTCATCATTCATGCGTTTGCGCAGAAACTCATCCTTAGATAAATTCTCAACACTGCAACAAATTTAAAAACCTAAAAATTAACACTAATAAAGTTGTTTGAAATGACATATAATTTTGTGCAATGGTAGGACACATCAAAAAGCATGTATATATCAAAAAAAGCATGTATTACCTCAAATAATAGTCAATTTGGTTTCAAGGGGAACTTCTTCTTGACTAGCTTCAGCGGGAGCAGGAGCGGGAGCAGGAGCGGGAGCAGGAGCGGGAGCAGGAGCGGGAGCAGGAGCGGGAGCAGGAGCGGGAGCAGGAGCGGGAGCAGGAGCGGGAGCAGGAGCGGGAACAGGAGCGGGAACAGGAGCGGGAACAGAAGCGGGTTCAATGAAAGGTATGCGGCGATGAGGATGATACATCATAGGTGGAGCAATTTCTAAACATGAAACATATGCAAACATAAAATCTCGTAAAGATAAAAAAAAAGACTATTCAATGTGAGTTGTGACTCACCGTGGAAGACCATAGGATAAAACGGCTGATGAACTAGCACATACTGAAGATAAAATGGCGGCACATGTGGTGGTGGTTTTAAAAATCCCGACGTAGCTCTTGGTGGTTGTGCAAATCTGACTGGCCTGTGAACACTCTGACTTTGATGAAGATGGTTGTTACTGTTCTGGTTCATGTGTGAGTTCCGTTCATATTGATTTTGTGTACTTGATTGTGACGCAAACTGGTTTTTTTGGTTTGGTCCGTGCAAAGGAAATTTGGTTTGTCTTGTAGACTGAGCAACATTACCACCATTGGTAAACGTAGAGGCAGCAACCGTTTGTTGTTGAATTGATCTTTGGTCGATAATTTGTTCAATTTTATCCATGAGTAGTTCAGCAAGAATAGCACTTGGCTGAAAATAAAAAGACATATAAGCTACATTAGTAAATCACAACACATATATATTAGAAACATCATTCAAAAATAAACTTGCTAAGCAAGTAAGCAATACAAAAGATTGGAAAAATATACGGATTTGCAAATAAAAACTAAAATACACATGTTAGAACTTGAAATTCCATAAATTCTACAATAACTTTTAAATCCAATATAGATTTCTCAATGAATAACACCCTCTTATATGGACAAATCAAGTACTGAAAAAATAAAATAAAAAAGTTTCAGTAATGAAACAAAACCGCTATGGATATAAGTACCTGAGAAAAAGGAACAGGTAATGATGATGATGATGATGATCCATCGCCGAGACTTGTTAGCGAATCAGAGGAAGGTTTGTTCGACCAAGGAGCTGCTTTCGTTGTCGACTCAGAAGGCAATGGCCACGAAGAAGCTCCCATGACTGTTTTGATCACATGATCTCCATTAGAGAGCCTGTTCCAAGCAGGTTTCTTCTCGGCATCACCAAGGGACATTCCAGAGTTGTCTAATTTCTCCTTCTCCTCCATGATCGTCGGTGAAGCAGATGATACAGATGGATTCGACTCCATTAGAGCCGTTGTTACAGAAGCTACTTCCATCGCAGAGGAAGGATCCGAGGAAACAGAGAAGAAAGAATTAGGGTTTCTTCTACGAAACTCTGATTTTACAGGACTCTGATCTCTATTCTAATAAACATCTTTGATCACTACAACAAAAGACAAACAAAAATATCTTAAGAAGTAAGTAGAGAAGAAAAAATCAGGAAAGAAAAAATCAGGAAAAATCTGAGAAATTAGGGTTAAAAGGAAAGTATAATGCAAAGAGGAAAAAATCGAGGGAATCAGCCAACAAATTTCCCAGAAATTGGAAACGAAGACGGACGGCCTTTTTTTAAGTTTTTTTTTTGTATTTATATGGAGAGTGAATCTTATTGGCTTTCGGCTACCGTGAAAATTTGAAATTACAGTTTTACCCTTAAAGAAAAAACACGTATTTTTCTTATTTTGTTTCTAAACAATGAGATCCTATTGGCTCATTACAATTTGTGAGGATCGATACTCTAAATTATATAGATGTTGAAATTATCTAAATAATTATTAAAAATTAACTAACAAATGAAATCTTTAATGATTAAGATTATTTTCTAGATTACAAATAGAGAGATTCTGCGGTTGACAAATATGCATACACTAGTCAATATTTACTTTTATTTTAACAAGATAAATACTCAAATTTATTTTAGTAAGTAAACTTAAATTATGGTTGCCATACAAAATTGATAGAAATATCAGATATCATTTTTTTTTGGGAGGGGAATATCAATATCAATCAGCTGAGGTCTAGTTTAGTCAGTAGGTTAATTGTTTTGTATGAAGTATTGATCGAATACGATAGGCGCAAGTCATGGGTGTTTTGTATGAAGCATTTCAAACTAAATTAAAATAATTAACCTACCACAAGAAAACATGCTGAATTCCTATGAATTTTTCTATGAAAATTTTGGTAGAAAATTTTTTAATCATTTTCCTACGAATTTATGACAAAAAATAAAAGTGGTAGGAAATTGAATGAAAATTTTCTACGATAAAAATCGTCAGAAAATGGTCAAAATATTCCTACCAATATTCAACCAAAAAAATATCCGTAGGAAATTTGTCAGAAATTTTTGACCACTTTTCTAGAATAGAATATGTAAGAAATTACATATCAATTTCCTACGAAAAATAAATATTTTATTATTTAAATATCCTATCAATTTCCTACTGAAATCAGTCAAAAAGGAAAATGGGAAAAATCCCACATCGACCAAGCAGAGTAAAGGTAATGCTGAACAGACTCTATAAATAGGCACATGCTTTAAAAATAAAAAATATTGAGTCAATAAAAATAATTTGGGCTTTAGAAGTTCCATATTTAGTTATAATTAATTTCTAATTAGTTTTTAATTAGGTTGATTAATTTTGTATTTAATTTTTATAATTTGTTTAATAATTGAAATTATTTAATTTTGTAATTAATTGAATTAAAACTTTTTTATATAGCTAGTAAGAAAATGATAGGAATATGATAGAAAACTGTTCGTAGGAAAAAGGTTCGATTTTTTCGAAAGAAAATGGAAGGAAAATAGTAGCAAATGCCCTACGATATTCTGACCAAATTTTCCGATGAAATTTTCCGACCAAAAATTTCGTAGGAAATTTCCTACAATTTTCTGACCATTTTTCCGACGGCATAGAACTTACCAAAATTTTTCGTCGGAAATTGGTAAGAATGCCTATTTCCTACCATTTTCTGATCAAACCTCCCCTCCCCCTTTTTTTTTTGGTATTCTGCCATTTTATATGGTCAAATACATTAACCGGTTCAAAAAAAAAATATTTACACTAGTAAATACTAAATACAAATACAAAATTGAATATGTTATAAACAAATGGACTTCTAGTAACCGGCCCATTAACCATCAGGTTAATTTCTCATGGCCCATTAGGGTTTCTGATACATTAGTTATGTAATGTATATATACACTGCTTATGGAAACAATAAGATCTGAGTTTTTCCCTTAATACGTTATCAGCACGAAGATCAACTTCAAACGATCATATCTCTCAAAATACAAGGAGTTAGAAGGCGATCTACATATCATTTTGAAGCCCTGGAAGAGAAGAATCTAGTGGTGAAAACCGCTCCTCAATCCGACACCAGACGCGCCCTCAAGACTCAAAACAATCGGCGCTGTCCCACCTTAGCGGGTGATTCTTTCCAAGCGGTGGTTCCTCCATTGTAGCAGCTGTTCGTCCTCCCTTCTGGCCATCATTCTCAGGAGTTTCCAGTAGATATCTGTGGTCTTTAGCTCCCAGATCATAAGCCGGTCAGAAATCCATTTGGCGAAAAGATATGCAAGACAATATGGATATCATTGTGGATAGTGGATCGAGCCACACCATTCTAAAAGACAAGAATTACTTCATAAATTTAGTAATCAAAACCGCAAACATTAGCACTATAGCGGGTAGTTCGAGCCTAATAGAGGGCCATGGCCAAGCTAATGTGTTGTTATCAAATGGCACATATCTAGACATCTCTGATGCCTTATACTCACCCAGTTCTAAGAGAAACCTATTGAGTTTCAAAGACATAAGATTGAATGGTTTCCATATCGAAACTCAGGATGAAGGGAACAAAGAGTTTTTAATTATCACTAAAATGATAAATGGCCATAAACAAGTTTTTGAAACTATACCCGCCGTATCTACTGGCATTTACCATGCTAAAGTCAGTATGATTGAGGCTAATGCTGCTATCAAAGCACGGTTTTTAGATTACACTATTTGGCATGATCGCCTGGGTCATCCCGGTGCGAACATGATGCGTAAATTAGTCCAGAATTCTAAAGGGCACAGCCTTAAACCAAATGGTATGTTCCCTCAGCACCTCAAGTGCACAGCTTGCTCACAAGGGAAACTGATTACCCGACCTTTACCAGTCAAAGTGTCTAAAGAGACCTTGAACTTTCTGGAAAGAATCCAAGGAGACATATGTGGACCAATTCACCCACCTTGTGGGACATTCAGATATTTCATGGTCCTCATTGACGCATCGACCCGCTGGTCGCATGTCTGTCTGCTCTCTTCTAGGAACCAGGCTTTTGCTAGGTTATTGGCCCAAATCATCAGATTACGAGCCCATTTTCCAGACTTCCCATTAAAGACTATACGTCTTGATAATGCTGGTGAATTCACTTCCCAAGCGTTTAATGAATATTGTATGTCCATGAGGGTAAGTGTTGAACATCCCGTTCCACATGTCCATACACAAAATGGATTAGCTGAATCCTTCATTAAACGAATTCAATGGGTTGCTAGACCATTACTCATGAGGTCACAACTCCCGGTCTCAGCTTGGGGACACGCAGTCTTACATGCCGCTGAACTAATACGCATACGACCATCTAGTGAGCACAAATATTCACCATCCCAATTGCTAACGGGTCATGAGCCAGACGTCTCTCATATTAAAACATTTGGGTGTTCAGTCTATGTACCCATTGCACCACCACAGAGGACTAAAATGGGACCTCAAAGGAGGATGGGAATATATGTTGGTTTTGATTCTCCCACCATCATAAAATATCTCGAGCCAACTACAGGAGATCTGTTTAAAGCCAGATATGCAGATTGCCGATTTGATGAATCGGTATATCCTAGATTAGGTGGTGAGATAGACAAGCTGGTAAAAGAACTTTCATGGAATCAAACATCCACACAATGGCAAGATCCTCGGACTCTAGAATGTGATTCAGAGGTCCAAAGAATTATACATTTACAAAAGCTAGCTAATCAATTGCCAGATTCCTTTGCTGACTCGAACAAAGTTACCAAATCGTACATACCAGCTTGTAATGCACAGTACGAATAGATGTCCCCTCAGGGAAAAGTCAAGTTGCTACAGAGTCTGACGCACGTAAGAAACGTGGCAGACCACCAGGTTCCAAAGATAAGAATCCCCGGAAATCAAAGAAAGGTGCAAGGATTGAAACCGGATTCAAGAGAACACGGATACAGCCTCAGCTGATACTTACCCTATCGAACCATCTCAAGAGGTTTGGGACGCCAAAACTCAAGGTTCTGAAGGGATTGATAATAATGAGATCTCAATCAATTATATCATATTCGGTTCTCTATGGAACAGAAAAGATGTCGACATCAATGAAACTTTTGCATACAAGGTAGCACTTGAGATTGCGCACACGCAAGAGGATCTAGAACCCACGTCTATAATTGAGTGCACTCGTAGATCAGATTGGCTGAAATGGAAAGAAGCCATAAACGTGGAGTTGAATAGTTTAAAGAAACGGAATGTGTTTGGTCCGATCTTAAGGACACCATTCGATGTTAAACCAGTGGGAAACAAATGGGTCTTTGTGCGTAAAAGAAACGAACTCGGCGAAGTCGTTAGATACAAGGCACGCCTTGTAGCACAAGGATTCTCACAGAGACCCGGAATCGATTATGAGGAGACTTATTCTCCAGTGGTGGATGCAACTACATTTCGATTCCGCATAAGTCTGGCCATAAGAGAAAACTTAGATTTGTGGTTAATGGATGTTGTAACCGTATATCTTTATGGACCACTGGACAGTGAAATCTATATGAGATTACCAGATGGTATTGAGCTCAAAGATAAGCATGCATCTCGTGATAAACACTGCATTAGGCTGAACAAATCCTTATATGGACTGAAACAAAGCGGACGTATGTGGTATAACCGGTTAAGCGAATATCTCATCAGAGAAGGCTACGAAAACGATCCGATCAGTCCATGCATCTTCATCAGAAAATATCAAAACAAAGGATTTGTAATCATAGCAGTATACGTGGATGACTTGAACATCCTCGGAACATCTGGTGAAATCGCCCAAACAGTTGAATGCTTAAAAGCAGAGTTTGAAATGAAAGACCTAGGCAAAACTAAATTCTGTTTGGGATTACAACTTGAGTACGTCAATGACGGAATCCTTGTGCATCAATTGGCATACACTGAAAAGGTACTCAAGAGATTCAATATGGACCAGGCCCTCCCATTAACCAGCCCAATGGTTGTGAGGAGCCTTGGATTGGATAGTGATCCATTCGGTCCAAAGAAGGACGATGAAGAAATCCTCGGTCCTGAAATGCCATACCTCAGTGCTATAGGAGCATTAATGTACTTGGCTAGTCACACTAGACCAGACATCTGCTTTGCCGTGAGCCTCTTAGCTCGCTTTAGTTCGTGTCCAACTCAAAGGCACTGGAACGGTATTAAGCACATCCTTAGATACCTTCAAGGTACTAAGGACTTGGGATTATTTTATTCTAACCATAACAAGGATGGTCTAGTTGGTTTTGTTGATGCAGGATATTTGTCAGATCCGCACTGTGCCCGGTCTCAAACCGGTTATGTTTTCACGCATGGAGGAACAGCCATATCTTGGAGATCCATGAAGCAGACTATTGCCGCTACCTCATCCAACCATGCGGAAATCTTGGCCATTCACGAAGCTAGTAGAGAGTGTGTTTGGTTGCGGTCCATGACTCAGCATATCCGATCAGATTGTGGTATGGACGAAGATAAGGAGCCTACGGTGATGTATGAAGACAATGCAGCTTGTATCGCTCAACTCAAGGACGGCTACATCAAAGGTGACCGGACAAAGCATATTCTGCCCAAATTCTTCTTCACTCATGAGCTACAGAAGGATGGTCAGGTCAAGGTTCAGCAAGTCCGATCAAGCGAAAATTCAGCCGATCTATTCACTAAATCATTACCGACTTCTACACTCCGGAAGCTCATTCATCAGATAGGAATGCGTAGACTTAGAGATCTACAGTGATGCCTAAACCAGGGGGAGTAATGCGTGTTGTACTCTTTTTCCTTCACCATGGTTTTTCCCACTGGGTTTTCCTGGTAAGGTTTTAATGAGGCAACGTTCCCCAGCGCATTATAGAGATCCCGGTTTTGTGACAGGCACGGTTACCTTGTCCAAGGGGGAGTGTTATAAACAAATGGACTTCTAGTAACCGGCCCATTAACCATCAGATTAATGTCTCATGGCCCATTAGGGTTTCTGATGCATTAGTTATGTAATGTATATATACACTGTTTGTGGAAATAATAAGATCTGAGTTTTTCCCTTATCTAACTTATTTGATCGATGAAAACAAAAGATTTTTTTTTTTTTTTAAATCTAGAGCCATAGAGGAACGTTGTTTTTGAATCCATTTACTGGTTTATAATTCATCATATATGCATCCGAAAACGAACAGGTTATATAAAAATCAATCTTCATATACAACATCTAAAAAATATAATACAACTGTAGTGCAGAATTTTTTTGGACTTTAACCCAATAGTCTTCTAAAGAATATAAAAATTTTGCGTATAGAAGATGGCTAAATGTTATATAAATGTAACAAACAATCAAAGGATGGCCAAAATTGAGAAGAAGTATAAGAATGGAAGTGAGAGAGAGAGAGAATATGAATAGGACGAAGAAGAAGATGAGCTTGGTCTTTGAGATGGAATGTTTGTGGCCTCTGGGTCAAATGAAGAAGCTGGTGGTCTAGCCGAGGAAGAGGAACGGTTCGATGGCTGCGTCCGAGCTGAGGTCTCACCAGTGGAACCTGAGCCATGAAAGTAAAGTCAAATCTTAGTGTTCTTGAGGGAAGAAGAAACAATTAGAAAATCTTTTGACAAGAAACACTCACAATCGGATTCTTTCCAGCCCAGAATCAGTTTCTCACGATCAAAGACAACGCGATAGCCAGTCATGAAGTTTTCTGCAAATCCAATAAAAGCTCGCATTTTGAGTTTAAGCAAGACAACAAAAATTTTGTTGGTTTTGAGTTTTCCAAATTGATACTTACGTCCAATGATGCTAATGTCTTCGCTCTTCATGATGGCTAAACAGTAGACAACTGTGTCCTGAAAACATCAAAAGGAGAGACAAAGCTTAAGTTTAGTGGCAGACACGGAACAGAGGTGTGCTCTGTAATAACAGAGGCCCTAACTAACCTCTATGGGGACTACTATTAACGGGTGATAAACAGGATATGAGCTCCCGCCTTTCATTGTCAGATTCACATCTGGATACTCAAAGCTTTTTTTGTTTGGGCTGCAAATATAGAAGATAGGTCCAAAAGTTAGTCAGGTTCTAGAGAGAATCAGAGAGAGAAGGTGAACCAGAGTAAAGAGGCAAACCTCACTGCATAACAGTACTCGAAAGGCAACTCGGAATCAGTTTGATAACGTTTGTCTAGAGCTAGAGAATTAAACTGCAACGTCCATACATCGGTTTTATCAAGCCATGTAAGTACCAAAACCAAGATCATATACAATAGTAAATGAAAACTTACACTTTCTGAAATAAGGGTGTAAGGTGCATCAGTCAGATAAGTGAACGAGGTTCCAGTGTCGAAAACAGCATCAAATTCAAGATCTCCTGTATTTCCTCCAACACTTATTTGAGTGACGGTGACATTGTAAGTAGGACTGTTAACATGAAAACAATATAAGTAATTAGAAGTATATTCAAAGAGATGGACAAGTTATTAGGGTTAAGCATAAAGAAGACAATGATTCGACCGTTTGCTTACTGTGGTTGTCTTATGTTCAATGGCGTTTCTCGTTGGTCTACGCTGCCTTTATCTCCAAAACTGATTCTACCAGCTCCATCGTCTCCAAAACACATTGAGAATGAGTTTGCTGCAATTCCTTCCTTAGCTAATACGCTCGGAACCGATATATCTTCCAAGCCAAGCCCGAAAAGACCATTTGGAGCTGCACCATCATGGAATACACCGGTCTGAACTAGACCACATCTGCTCCAGCACATAAAGATTGTCAAGATCAAAACCACAAAGGTTTAAAGCTTGCTGACATTATAGATAGTTTGAGAAACATAACATTACTTACCCCAAGGTAATCCGAGCGCGAATAGGTTTGGAGTTTTTCTCCATTGAAACTAAGTGAAGCACATCCTCAACCAAGACTCCAGTAGAGGATGTACCATTAGAAAGATACCGGATCTGGTATGGGCAATCACTAAGAGGTGAAGCGCATCGATCAACTCTTGTACATAACGTGCTATTACAAGGAACTTTAGAACTTGTCGATGATGCATTAGGGCTATAAATATTGAGGTCCAAACTCTGTTCAACAAAAGAAAAACTCATGTAACGAACCCAACAACATGTAAAATATAGCAAAATGTCTAAACAGATAAGTAACACATCAAATTCTAAACATAAGAATATCTCATTAAGTGTCCAAAATCGTGAAAGATTTGTAGTCCATATATATAGTGAGCATTGAGAGCATCACTGATAAGTCTACTATTGGTCTCATTGTATTCAACACAACTAAGCCAAAGTCTCAATCAGAACAAACCAATCAGATTCAGAAACTTCCCATAATTCTAGACCAAATCACTCAAACGCAACTATGTTCTTATATAAGCAACAAAGAAGAAACCTCACCGAGCCTCCAGGTGCTTTCAACTCACGAACACAGTTGGTACTGCAGTCACAGGGCAACCAAAACAAGTCACTTCCAGTGTCTAGAGCCACCAGAAACCAATCAGACGGAGTCCCTACCGTCACATTCGCGTAATGCAAACTGTACAAAACATCAAAAATCAACAAATTCAACATAAAACATCTCCAAGTCTCATTTACAGTCACAGGTTCTGGTAACGAATCAAGCTTATGAGATTTGACAATCATGAAAGGAGAAAAACCTTACAATCCTAGGGCGTTCACACGAATAGTTTCATTGCCGTCAGCGAAAGTGACGAGCGATTGATCTTCCGATGCGAGTCTACGGCCTCTGATCAAACGATCTCGATGAGCCATAACTCTGTAATACTTGGAAGAGTCCCGATTAGGCAACCCATCTCCGGGCAAAACCCCAACGACTTGATCGGAGAAACGGTGGTGAAATTCAAACCCGAATTCGCCTAATCCTTCGCATCTATCCAATACCCAGCTCGAAACCAGCATAAGAATCAGACCCATAAACATAATTCTACAGCTCGAGTACCAAACCATGGCGGTTCGTCGTCAAAAAGTAACCCCGCCGAGATCTCGGAAACTTTCTATGAAAAAAGTCGAATTTTCCGAGAATTCGAGAGTTAAAGGTATCCAAAAGACTAGCCTGATTCTTCTTTTAGCTATGGGGTGATGAGAATTTTGATACGCAACCGAGAAATTAGGCGAGAAGGAATCGTGAGTTGAGAGAGAAGTGGAGGGTGAAGCAAGAAGCTCCAAAGTTTTCTCTTTGTATCATCAACTTTCAAGTCAATTTCTTTACCAAAAAACAAAACTTTCCAAGTCAAATTTATTTTCCACAAACAATTAATAATAAATCATTTTGACATATTATATTAATATTATAGTAAAAAGGTGGCAGGTAATTTTCTTCCTCTAGCTCAAAATGGCAAAAGTCAACGCGAAAGTCGTCGAAGTGGGACCCAAAGTCATCTCTGTGGAATATTCAAACAATGTGTAAATTTGTAATCCACAGACCATAATCGTTTGCTACTGAATATATTATGGTTACGCCATTGAATTATTATACGTTTTGGTCAACACGTCATTGATTTATTTAGAGATTAATAATTAGTTACGGAGTTGAACGAACTTTTTTGTCATTTTTATACTAATGAGTTAGTAAACTTATCATAGTTACATTTGAGATTGTACCAAATATTAATTAGTTTCATAATTTGTTTATATCTATTCTATTGAAACAGAAGCACATTTAGTGCTTGCATCCAAACATTCCCAAAGTTTTTTTTATAATATTTTATTTAATTTTTATATTTAATTTCTGAAAATTAATTATTAATTTAGATATTTTTAGATTTCCTAAAATCTAGGTATCTTTAATTTAAATTTCAAATTATTAAAAATTTAATTAAATTTAGTTACAAAAATTTGCATTCAATTTAATTTAAATTCAAAAAATTCAAAAAATTATAATTAAATTTTATTACGAAAATTTAGATAATAATTTTAATACTTTAGAATTTCTTAAATACATGAAAGATTTAATTTAAAATTTTAAATTTAAATAATATTTTTATAAAAATGCATAGTAAATAAATATTTTATCGTATTTTATCATAAACAATCGGTCTAAAATATCAAATATTTGAGATTAATAAATATTTATATTATACAAGATCGAGCTGATTAGAGTTATATATATATATATATTTAAGGTCCATGAGTTAATTTATTAAAACATGTAAGATATTAAGATGATTTGAGACAATTAAACTAACATGTTAGCCCGTTTATATATATATATATACATTTTTTAATAGCACAAATAGTAAATAAATATCTTATTATATTTTTTCATAATCAGTGGTCCAAATATTCCATATTAGTAAATATTTATAGGGTTATACAATTATAATTATAGTCTTATACGGGTTAGTTTGTCAAAACATGTAAGATATTAAAAATGATTTAAGATAACTAAACGGATGGATTAGCAAATTCATAGATATATAGATTGTTTATGTGTAAATCTAAATTCACATAATAAAAAATTTATAATTAACATTAGATCAATATATACTTAATTAACGTATACTCTTATTCAACTAACTAATATACAAATTTTACTGTTTAAAATTAAAATATGATAACAATTTAAAAAAATAAATAACAAAAATTAATTATATCTAAACAAAAAAGATAAATGCAACTTATATTAGAAATAAAAAATAAAACATTCCCGTGCGTCCGCACGGGGTTAAAATCTAGTTTATAGGTTAAAAAAGGTGGGCTAACTAATTATTCGGTTAACTTGTTGGCCTATATTTTAATTGAGAAAATAATGATACAATATTGAAATAAATAAAATCATAAAATCAAGAAAATATCCAGTGATAAAGAAAATAATATTTAAATGACGATTTGATCTGACTTTGTTTAATTATTTTGGTAGTTAGTCAGTTAAATGGATCACAACGATATTTTTTTGAATAAAAAACATTCAGTTTTTTTGTCTTGTGTTATTGCACAAAGAAAAACATACATTAAAAATCAAGATGAAAATGAAAAAAAAAATCAAGATGAAAATGATTAACTTAAATGAATGAGAAAATATCACTAAAGTGCTTTGATTCTGCATTGTACCTACTATCTGCTTTTTTTTAATAAATGAAGGAGAGGATCACTTTGTAAAGATGTTTTTGAGTATATGATGTTGGAGGTGAAAATCGTATTTCCGGTTTTCTCCGGTACAAACTGAAATCGGTATGAAGTAAACCCAATTTACGAAGGAACTGTACCAAGAAAATTGGGTCAAGTGAGTTTTTGGGCTGAACATAGCCCAATAAGTCGAAGCCGGTCAGAAGCTTCTCAAAGAAACTAAGAAGTTTTCTGAGTTCGGAGGAAAATGGAAAGTTTTCGAATAGAAAAAGGAAATTGACGAGAAGAAAGGAAATTGTCGAGAGAAAAGGAAAATGACCGAGAGAAAAGGAAAGTCTTCTCAGTCCCATATCGCAGAGAAGACCCACGAAGACCGACTTACATATATAAAGGGAGAGGAATCGACATCAGAAAGGACAAGAAATTCGGGAAAGACTTAAAGACTGAGAACTCAATACTTTAGCTTCTTAGTTTCATAAGTCTTAGTTCGTTTATCATTCATATAACCGAACTCAGTTGTATTCTTCGATCGATTTAATAAAATCCGAGTTTGCCGATCTAAATTACTATTTGGTCCCTTGTTCGATATTCACATATCAACAATTGGCGCGCCATGAAGGGGAACTTAACAGAATACTCAGTTTTAGATCGGATTCCGGAGAGATCGATTAAACTATGACAAACCAAGTCAATGTCCATGAGGAGGAAAATCCTCTCGGCCAAGGGAACGGCGACATCCGAGCCTCCGCTGAGCAGACAGGAGGAACCCCTGGGGAGACCGTTGGAACAGAGGCCGGCCAAACTCCCCCAACCGTAGGAGGCTTTGGAACTGAATTACTGCTCCAAGTGTTCAACGCTCAGTTCGAAGCTATCCACAAAAGGAGCAAAGAGCGCTTCAGTCAGATGGCGGCACAGATCACCGAGCTCAGTCAAACACGAACTCCCCTTCGAGTTTGGAACATCATTGACGACCTCAATACAGACGGTGACCCGGCTGGAACTATGCGATCTACTGCTGTCGGATCGGCAAACGCCCCAACACCACCGGACCGCTCACGGGATTTGATGGCGAACGCTGCATGACGGCCAGCACAGTCAAAATCCCAATCTACCTTGCCGGAGTTGCAAATATCATCCAATTCCTCATCCTTGACAAACCAGCAATCTACAACGCTATTCTCGGCACACCTTGGTTACACGCGATGAAGGCAGTTGCCTCTACGTATCACCAATGCCTGAAATTCCCGACTCCCGATGGTATCTACACTCTCCGAGGTAACCTAGCCGTCGCCCGATCGTGCTACATAAACAAAACCTAAGCAAGAGTCGATTACTCAAATCTGCATCGACGAACTCAGGCCAGAACGCCAGGTCGGCATTGGCGCCGACTCGACCCAAAGATCCGCGACACCCTCGTTCACTTCCCGAAGCAACACTCATCCACCTTTGCATGGTCGGTAGAGGATATGCCTGGGATCGATCTACAAATCGCTTGTCACGAACTCAACATTGATCCGACATACAAACCGATCAAGCAGAAGTGCCGAAAACTCGGACCATAGAAGGCACAAGCCGTCAACGATGAGGTCGAGCGATTACTCAAAGCAGGATCCATCACCGAGGTCAAATACCCTGACTGGCTGGCAAATCCCGTGGTTGTCAAAAAGAAGAACGACAAATGGAGGATTTGCATCGACTTCACCGACCTCAATAAAGCATGCCCAAAAGACAACTTTCCTTTGCCTCATATCAATCGCCTCGTGGAGGCAACCGCCGGAAACGAACTTCTCTCATTCATGGACGCATTCTCCGGATAGAACCAGATTCTCATGCACCCTCAAGACCGAGAAAAATATCGTTTATCACGGATCGCAGTATATACTGCTATATAGTTATGCCCTTTGGTTTGAAGATTGTTGGAGCAACGTACCAACGCCTGGTCAACCGAATGTTCGCAAGCCAGCTCGGGCGAACTATGGAAGTTTACATTGACGATATGCTTGTCAAATCACTCGTCGCTTCCGATCATGTCGGCCATCTTCGCACCTGCTTTGATATTCTAGACCAATACGGCATGAAACTCAATCCCACCAAGTGTACGTTCGGCGTAACGTCTGGCGAATTCCTCGGGTAAATAGTCACACAGCACGGCATCGAAACTAATCCGAAGCAGATCGCAGCTATACTCGAACTCTCATCCCCAACAACCAAACGAGAAGTCCAGCGGCTAACCGGACGTATCGCAGCACTCAACCGGTTCATATCCTGATCAACAGAAAAGTGCTTGCCGTTCTACCAACTTCTCCGCGGTAATAAGCACTTGGAGTGGAACGAAAAGTGTGAGGAAGCTTTTTCCGAATTCAAGAAATACTTTTCTACGCCGCCAGTTCTATCCAAACCCGAGACCGGCGAGACACTGTACCTTTACATCGCGATCTCGGAATACGCGGTCAGCAGTGTCCTAGTTCGCGAAGACCGCGGTGAGCAGAAACCAATTTTTTACACCAATAAGTCCCTCGACGGATCGAAATATCGCTACCCAACCTTGGAAAACTTCGCCTTTGCCGTGGTTATCTCAGTGCGAAAGTTACGCCCATACTTTCAATCACACTCGATCGTCGTCCTAACCGACCATCCTCTTCGTACGTTCCTTCACAGCCCAAGTCAATCCGGCCGACTCGCCAAATAGACCATCAAACTCAGCGAATACGATATCGAATACCGAGGAAGGAACGCGACAAAATCCCAACTCCTGGCGGACTTCTTGGTCGAACTCCCACCGAGCTCGTCGACGTCAACCCAGCTGTACAACCTTGGATCCTCCATGTCGATGGCTCCTTCGCCCATAAAGGATTCGGCGTCAGAATTCGTCTCAAATCTCTTGAAGGCAAGGTCATCGAACAGTCATTCCGCCTCGGCTTCCCGGCGTCTAACAATGAAGCTGAATACGAAGCACTAATCGCCAAATTACGCCTTGCCAAAAGAATCGGCGCCGAACACATCTACGCCTATTGCGACTCTCAACTCATAGCTAATCAATTTCACGGCGAATACGAAGTCAAGAATGATCGCACGGATGCATACCTTAA